TCGCAAAATATATTTCAAACCTGAAACAAGGATGATTTAATTACAATGTTTCTGGAGTTACAAAATGCGAGTATTTGTTTTAATAAAAAAAATAGCAAATGATCAACTTTAAGAAACACAAATGGTAAAGGATACAGTTTAAGGTTGTTGAATGAGCGGAGTAAATATTTATAAACTGATAAGTTGATACTATTGAAAATAAAGTTCCGAACATTGTTTGTTGCTAGTATTATGATTGTATTTGAAAGGGTAACTTACTATTAGGTCTTAACACACTCGAAATAGAGAGGTGATTGATTTGTGACTAAAACATAATTGTCTTCTGAAAATAATTGCTTGTTTAAAAAAAAAGAAGAAAGATTGTTTTCACTTGGAATTTTAACTTATTTCACTTTAACATGAGCGGTTTTGGTACACAATCGAGTATCAGGGTTGGGGGGGTTGGGTTTGGTGTGTATGTCTCCGTCAGAGAAATAAATCCTTGGCAAACCTGGCAAAGACGACTTTCAAAGGCTCTGGGGAGTTTAAAATGATTTTGTTCAACAACTAGATAGATTCCGACCGAAACTCTCCAAGTTTGGAAGATATTGTCTTGTCATAATTTGAACTTTCTGATACACTGAGATCCAAAGAGTTATAAAGATAATTTTCTAGATTGGGTAGACTTTGAAGTGTGGCAACTCCTTGGCCTTGAGGTTTTTTATTTCTATAACTTTGTGTAACCCTGTACAGTGTACACTAGTGTATACACTCGATCAACACGAATTTCTACAACATACAACATAAGATTTTTAGTGTACGTGAGAGCATGATTGCACATTGGATAATCTGTGTCTATCAGACATATCTATATATATATATACAACCTTGTAATCTCTGTTTGTCCGATCATATAACTAAGAAACCCCTGGACCGATTGTGGCACTCAGGAGAGACACGGGCAAGGTTATAATGCAAGGAAAGTTATTTCAGAGGTGAACGCATCTTTTGTACTGCAGTGTACTGTCTCTGGGCGGTAATGTAAACACAAGACGGATGTTACAGCCTGATATGGGATCCATCTTTCACAGAAAAAATCAATGAAATATTCTGGTCATAGGAAACTATTGTGTGAATTATCAAAATTATAAAAATTTAATGCTTTTATATCCATCTTTCACAGAAAAAATCAATGAAATATTCTGGTCATAGGAAACTATTATGTGAATTATCAAAATTATAAAAATTTAATGCTTTTATATCCATCTTTCACAGAAAAAATCAATGAAATATTCTGGTCATAGGAAACTATTGTGTGAATTATCAAAATTATAAAAATTTAATGCTTTTATATCCATCTTTCACAGAAAAAATCAATGAAATATTCTGGTCATAGGAAACTATTGTGTGAATTATCAAAATTATAAAAATTTAATGCTTTTATATCCATCTTTCACAGAAAAAATCAATGAAATATTCTGGTCATAGGAAACTATTGTGTGAATTATCAAAATTATAAAAATTTAATGCTTTTAANCTTGCTTGGGTCTCTTTAAGCTCTGAAATAAATCTTTTTGACTTTTTCATCTCTGACTCTTTATACTCGATAAATAGGTCTCTTTGACTCGCCATACTCTATGAATAAGTCTCTGTGACTGTGACTCGTTTAACTCTATGCATAAGTCTCTGTTACACGTTTAACTATGAATAAGTCTCTTTGACTCTTACACTCTATGAATAAGTCTCTTTGACTCTTACACTCTATGAATAAGTCTCTTTGACTCTTACACTTTATGAATAAGTCTCTGAGACTCCTTAAACTATATGAATAAGTGTCTTTGTCTATTTAAACTCTATGAATAAGTCTCTGTGACTCGTTATACTCTATGAATAAGTCTCTTTGTCTATTTAAATGGTAAAATCTATGAATAAGTCTCTTTGTCTATTTCAACTCTATAAATAAGACTCTTTGACTCGCCAGCTCTTTAACCAACTCTCTGTGACTCGTTATAAGTCTCTTTGTCTATTTAAATTTTAAACTCTAGAATAAGTCTCTAAGACTCTAGAATATATTAAATAATTGTGCATCTGTGTAAATGGAAAATATTGATTTTTCTTGTTTTCTTACTCGAGAAATCAATACTAGGACATACTCACACACAACTATATCTATCTATCTATCTATCTATCGATATTGAGATAAAAGATAATATCTAGATAGATAGAAAGATACGTTTCTTTATTCATCTTATTTCTTTTTCTTTCTATCCTTTTTATGCAGTTAACTGGCAGTATTTCTCTCTATACATGGGTTACCTTACCCACAACTATTATATATCTGGATATACAAGTAGATAACAAAATAAACTTTAAATTAAAATTTAAAAAGAGATACAGATGGATAAATAGATAGAAGTATAGATATATAGATTTATTTCTTTAACCATCGCAGGCGCTTTATATGTCTATCTTTTTGTCAATCTGTCTAGTTAGCTGTATACAGATAAATAGAAATAACGATAAATAGATAGATAGGTAAATAAATAAATAGATAAAGAAATTAACTTTAAATTAAATTTAGATAGAGATAGATAGATAAATAGATAGATAAATAAATAGATAGATAGATAGATAGTCTGATATAAGATAATATCTATCTATCTATCTATCTATCTTCTATCTATATATCTTCTATCTATCTATATCTATATATCGATATTGAGATAAAAAGATAATATCTATAGATAGATAGAAAGATACGTTTCTTTATTCATCTTATTTCTTTATTACTCACAACTGATATATCTGGATGCAATTGTAGATAACAAAATAAACTTTAAATTCAAATTTAAATAGAGATACAGATAGATAAATAGATAGAACAATAGATATATAGATATGTTTCTTTATCCATCGCAGGTGCTTTATATGTTAGCTGTATACAGATAAATAGAAATAACGATAAATAGATAGATAGGAGAATAAACAAATAGATAAAGAAATTAACTTTAAATTAAATTTAGATAGAGATAGATAGATAAATTGAGAGATAAATACATTTCTTTAATCATGTTTTTCCTTTTTTTATAGCAAGCCCTCTTTTTCAGTCTATCCTTTCTTTGTACCTCTCTTTCTTTCTATCAATCTGTCTAGCTAACTGGATATATGGATATACAAATAGATAAGAGTTAAATAGATAAAGAGATAAATAAATAAATAAATAAATAAATAAACTCTGTATTAAAATTTAAATAGAGATAGGTAGATAAATAGATAGATAGATAAATAGATTAATCAATAGATTAATCGATAGATAAATAGATAGCTGAATAGATAAATATATAGATAGATAGATAGATTGATAGATAAATTGAAAGATAGTAATAAATAGATAGATAGATAAATAGATAGATAGATAAATAGATAGATAGATAAATAGATAAATAAATAGATAGATAAATAAATTAATAGATAAATAGATAGATAGATAGATAAATTGAAAGATAGTAACAAATAGATAGACAGATAGATAAATTGAAAGATAGTAGCAAATAGATAGATAGATAGATAAATTGAAAGATAGTAGCAAATAGATAGATAGATAGATAAATTGAAAGATAGTAGCAAATAGATAGATAGATAGATAAATTGAAAGATAGTA